CAAGGGTCGAACTTCAAATGCAACGTATAGATGAAGAGAAGCGGGTCCAGGAGAGGCTCACACAGAAAACTGAGGAGCAGGAGAAGGCTTTACGAGAAAAATCGATGCAGCAAGAGCTTGAAAGCAAGCGGAAAGCGAATCAGCAACGGTGGGAATTGGAGAGGCAATTCATCGGCAGGAAGTACAACCTTCTGCAGTCCGTGAATGAAGGTGACGACAATGTGAGTGTGAGGAGCCTACGTAGTAATCGTAGCTCTAAAAGCACGGTTCATCGGTGGTTGGAAGACCAGAGAGAAACGATAATGGCAGCTTGTGCTGGGAACGTTGAAGTCCCAGTAATTACCACATCGTATACTGGAACGATCCCAAAACGGACTACTGCAAGGAGCATAATTACCAGTAGGAACCCAACCACACCAGTCATAACAAGCATTTCATCGAGACAAGCACAGGTCAGGTATACGAATGAAAACTCGCTGTACGCCATCGCAGTAGGTCAATTTTTCGAGGCGGTCGGCGCATCAGTTCCAGTATCAAAAGTCGATACATTGCCGGCTCCCGTTCGTAATCCAATACCTGCATTCAGCGATTTGATCTCTCCACCAACTTCAAAACAAGAGGAACTTGCGAAGACTTTCTCCAAAATCTCGTCGAACGCAGAGGAAACTGGAGCAACAGATACTCGATTTGCAGCAACAGATGGACGATCTTCAACATCAGTCAGCGAATCAACTTCGGTCCCACCGGGATCGAGATATTCTGATGACTCAAATTCCAGCTGTAACTGATTCAAGTTCACACGGTAGGGTACCGTGGGAAGGTAGGTCAAGCCAGCTGTTAGATTCTTTTTCGGCAAATCAAGTGCCCACTTCACGATTCAGGGAACCATTGTTGAATTCGACCCCTGAAACAATCTCCAACAACTCCCACGTTAGAATAAGTAGTGCTTTGGGTACTGTTCACTCATCAGCCCCTTCCAGTGTGCCTCTACCACACCCCATAGTGACTACTATTCATAGTTACCCTAATCCAATTCCATCTCCATGGGTTCCACCAAGGATGCCAGTAGTTTCACCAAACGTTCCGATATGTGGTCCGAATGCCCAGCAACTTGCTGCCCGGCATGTCGTGCCAAAGGAACTTCCTCACTTCGATGGTAATCCATTGGATTGGCCTTTGTTCTTCAGTAGCTACACAAACTCAACCCAAATGTGTGGCTACACTGATGCAGAGAATCTGATGCGGTTACAGCGTTGCTTGAAGGGCAATGCTCTTAGTGCGGTGAGCTATCAACTTCTGCATCCATCTTCCGTCCCGCAAGTAATGGAAACTTTCCGAACATTGTACGGTCGGCCGGAGTTGGTCGTGAATAGTCTTCTCACTAAAGTTCGATCCACTCCCGCACCAAGGGCTGACAAATTGGAGAGTATTATAAGCTTCTGTCTCGTAGTGCAGAATCTTTGTGGTCATATGTGCTCGTTGGGTATGGAGAACCATCTGTCGAACCCGACTCTGTTGCAAGAGCTGGTGACCAAGCTTCCGGCGGGAGCCAAACTCGATTGGGCTCATCACCAACATCGAATTCCTGTTGTAGATCTGCGTGCTTTCGGGGAGTTCTTGTCGACAATTGTCTCTGCTGCCAGCAACGTCACGTTTCAAAGTGACTTCGAAACGATACGCTCATCAGCAGCTTCGAAGTCGGAGAAACCGAAATGGAAAGAAAAGGGATTCCTGAACGCTCATGCGGATGATGGTGATAGAGTAAAGGTGCAAGGTGAATGGAAGCGCAACGTCAACACTGTGGAAAAAGGTCCAGTTCAGCCGAAACCATGTCGAGTGTGTCAGAAGAATGGCCATAAGCTGAAAGAGTGCTACAAGTTTCAGAAGAGCAGCATCGATGAGCGTTGGAAATTGGTCCAGCAGCTACATCTGTGTCGACGCTGTTTGGCATCCCATGGAAAATGGCCCTGCAAGGCACCTTTATGTGGGCAGAATGGCTGCGAATTAAAGCACCATAGTCTGTTGCATTCAGAAAAGGCGGAGACTCCAGCAACCAAAGAAATCTCTTCTCAATCAACTGCGAAGGTGAATGTGCACCGTGAAGGCTCGCGGTCTACTCTCTTCCGGATTGTGCCAGTGCGGTTGTACGGTAAGGACTCATCAATCGACATATTGGCTTTCTTGGATAACGGGTCATCGTTTACGTTGATGGAGCAAGGAGTTGCGGATCAGCTCGGAATGGACGGTGTGATTGAACCCCTTTGCCTTCAGTGGACAAACAATGTTACCCGCACGGAATCGGAATCCAAGGTAGTACAGTTGGGAATCTCCAGTATTAGCGGTGACAAGCGATATATGTTAGAGCGAATAAGAACGGTTGAAAGTCTCGGGCTACCTCCACAATCTCTTCGCTTCGAACAGATGGAACAACAATTTCTATATCTTCGGGGGCTACCAGTGAACAGCTACAGCGGAGCAGTTCCACGTATCCTGATTGGCTTAGACAATACCGACTTGATGGTGACACTGAAGAAGCGGATCGGCAAACCTCTGGAGCCAGTTGCGACGAAAACGAAGCTGGGATGGACAGTCTATGGGAACGGGGAAAGCCTTGATGATCCACCAGAACATCGCCTTCTGAATCGTGAACTACATGATCTCGTCGAGGAGTTCTTCACCGTTGAGAGTACTGGTGTGAAGGTCGCACCGATAGTCGAAGCAGATGATGATCGTCGGGCACGGGAAATTATGGAGAAAACCACGATTCGTACACCATCTGGGAGATTTGAAACGGGTTTGTTATGGCGTTATGACTGTATCGAGTTTCCCGAAAGCCGCCCGATGGCAGAGCGGCGGCTTAAGTGTCTCGAGCGTAAACTGACTGCAGATGCGGAACTTTACAACAAAGTGAAGTTACACATCGCTGACCTGGAGGCCAAAGAATACATCCATAAGGCGACACCGGAGGAACTGACGAATTTTGATCCGCGGAGAACCTGGTTCCTTCCGTTGGAATTGGTTATCAACCCAAACAAACCAGGAAAGATCCGTATGGTGTGGGATGCGGCAGCGAAGGTGGAAGGCGTGTCATTAAACTCCATGCTTCTGAAAGGACCCGATCTTCTAACATCCCTCAAGTCAGTTCTACACCGTTTCCGACAGCGACAGGTAGCTGTGGTAGGGGATGTTAGGGAAATGTTTTTCCAACTTCTCATTCGCGCCTGGGATCGTCAATCGCAATGCTTCGTATGGCATGATGATTCATCACTACCAGTCGAAGTCTACGTGATCGATGTTGCCACTTTCGGTTCAACGTGCTCACCATGCTTGGCGCAGTACGTAAATAACCGGAATGCTGAGGAGAACAGAACAGAATTTCCAGAAGCCGTCGAAGCAATAGTCAACAACCACTACGTCGATGACTACCTCGACAGTAGGGACATCGAAGAAGAGGCAATCCGAATAGCGTCAGAGGTTAAGCAAGTTCATGCAAAGGCTGGGTTCGAGCTTCGTAACTGGTTGTCGAATTCGGAAGAAGTTGTTCGACAGGTCGGGGAAAGTTCTGCAAGCGAATGCAAAAGCTTCGCGACGGACAAGTCTACAGGGATCGAAAGAGTCCTCGGCATGCGATGGCAGCCCATCAACGACGAATTCACATTCAGACTTTGCTTGCGGGAAGACGTCGCGCAGTTGTTGAGTGGCGATATGATTCCGACCAAGCGAGAAGTTCTTCGAGTTGTCATGAGCGCCTTTGATCCACTGGGACTAGTAGCAGCATACGTTGTTCACGGGAAATGTTTGGTGCAAGACATATGGAGAAGCAAGATAGGATGGGATCAGTGAATTCCAGAGGAAATCTGCAGTCGATGGCGTCAGTGGGTGCAAGCACTTAAAGGACTGGATCAGATTCCAGATTTAAATCAAAATTAACGAAGTTCGCAATCTTAAAAACATATCTAAGTTCAGCATTATGAATATTTCTGATAATTCTTGAAAATTTCTCATGTTTCCGAATTTTCGCAACATATCCATGTCCGGAATATTGTAAACTCCCTTCTTCGGAAAATACTGTATAAAACCTGTAAAGAGTTCCAAGGGTAACTCTTTACAGGATTTCTACAGTATTTTCTGAAGAATATCCTTAGCAGAATATCCTCAAAGTTCATCTTAGACCGCTTTCTAGTAGTCCCTTTTAAATTGCTACTCTTGACAATGTTCTACAGCACACTCTTTGGATTCACTCTGTAATGCTCTCCAAAATATCGGTTAATTCCCTGGAGGTGACCGTACCAGCATCAACTTTAACCAGCAATCCAAAATCGATCCATGATGCAATCCAAGTAAAATAATGTTTTAAGAAATCTTAATATTCAAAATTCAAATGTTTGCAATTTAAATAAAAGGGCAAAATTCAACAGGAATTAATTCAAGAGTTTCAACATTCTTTAAGTAGACCATTAGTCAATGATCCCAGGCCTAACTCATTGACTTCACAGAAAAATTATGTCATATTTGTTCATTAAATTTAAATAAGAAACCTAATCCTTTAAAAACTCGTGCCATCACAAATAATTTTTTTTTTTTTTTTCTTTATTATAGAGATTTTTAGCCATTTTAGGCTAGTTCATCTCTTATCACAAATAAAAGAAGAACTTGCAAATTCAAATACCATCCGATTCATCAGCTAGATCCGTGAGCTCGTAGGAACGTTCCTAAAACGCATAAATGCTACGCAATTCGACTTCTCCCTTCTTTCGCATTTAAGGAACCCACTTTCAATCATAAATGAAACACCCTTCAGTTATTTCCCCCTTCCGTCCCTGACCTATCCAGAAAATCATTTTTTTTTTTCGCTTCACCCATTCCACCAGCTTACGAAATCGCTCACGCGTAATCATTAATGAAACACATAACCCGCAGCCAGCCGCAGAATCCCGAAAGTAGAAAAAAAAAAACACCCAAACGCATCAACCGAGAAGGGAAAAGCAAGACCGACTTACCTGTACCATCTTCTTGCCGCGTTCGCTCCGTTTGTCGTCGTTACTCTGCCGTTTGCTAATGCTGCTTCAAATTGCCTCCGGAACACACCGTCCAACCGACCACCGATTCAGTGCAATTCGGTTGCGTTTTTGTTTACTTTCCCCTTGGTTCTTGTGCAAGCGGTCGCCCGGACACCCTATCTGGCCGTTTCTTGTTCTTTCCTCTTCGCTCCTTGAGCAGGCCGCCACACAAGCAAAACACCACCAGTCAGTGCAACAGCACACGTCTTAATCCATCCGATCCCGGGGGCAGTTGCTATAAATCTTTGGTAGTTTTCTTAAACTTCACTCTTCTTCCCGGTGCACTTTCCAACAATCACTTTACTTTCACTCGAATCCCGCCGCGGCTGCACACGCACTGAAAACCGGACCCAACAGTATCCAGGTATGTATCCAACATAAAAAAAACTGATCCGTACTTACGCAGGACTCGCGGAAATTCGCGTCTTGCTTCCACTTGAACTTCAGAACGATTGAATCGACGAGCGGGACTAGCCACGGATTGTTCCCCCTTTGCTGGCTGGTTTGGCGAATGCGAATCTACAATAGGAAAATAGAAGAGGAAAAAAATCTCTGCGTAAGCGTGCATGTACCTCTACACTCGGACCCCCTATATACAACTACAACACAACAGTAGTGTGTAGTGGGACTACGACGGGATCAGGATCAGTCAGGAAATGACAACACATACAGCGAACCTGCCACAGCCGGCGACCGACCACCAATACTCACAATGCTTTTTGCCGCGGTCTGTTGTGAATATGCCACCGAAAAGGATAACAACGCCGACGACGACTAACGTGTACGTGTATATATGCAGTCCGTGTGCAGCACTCTCAGGATGCACGGCAAAAGGATATGGTATCCGAAAAAATACACAGAAGGGGGAGATTTGAATCTGGGTGGAACGAGAACCTTGCGCACAACACACAAACCGAAGAACCACGCTGGATCTGAAACTGTTACTCTTGACGGATTCGCGAACTGATGAACATCGGGCGGAGGATGCAAAACAAAAACATCAACTGCTCGAATTGTTGACGTTTCTCCATCAGCGCGAGCACGGCGAGCACGAGGTATACAGTGAAGCCGCTGTAAAGCGGACTATGTGGTGGTTTGTTTTTAGGTGGTGAAATATTTCATGACATGGTACAATCAACAATCAATTCGAAACCACCCCCCGAGCATCTAGACAGAAAACCTTAGTTTCACGTACCCACTTGCAAATTGTAGATGTCTCCACCGTACGTAAACAATGGGGTCAGCCATCGTTGGTGGCACAACTTTTTTCACATCAGAAAACATGTTTTTGTTTCACTTCATGTGGACGTCGAAAGCAAACCAAGAATAAATTTCGAGTGAGACGTATTACTGGTGTTGCACATTTTAGATCATGATGCTGTCAACAACCATCGAAATATGTTGATCAAATTATGCATTGATTTCTATCTTAAATATCGACTGGAGCAGTACGCCAAAAACTTCGGTGGGATCAAGATTTCACTACGTAAAAAACTTACTAAACTGATACTGTTCCGTGGAGAATGAAGAATTGATTACTGTATAGTTCAATAAACGTCACAATAAAAAAAACTTTATTAATCCACCAATGGTGTGATCTGGCACTTCTTATTTCTGTAAATTCTGATATTCTTTTTAAAAATTACCCCGAAAGCAGCACCCTAATAAAAATGTTCCATACACGAACCATAACCCAAATGGTTTAACCATATGACACATAGTTCGGAACCTGCACAGGTTTTTAAGCACTTTTTATGGTTATTTCCTATGTGGGCACTGGGCAGTAACCCGATTAAAGGGTTTCGTTTATTTCGGTTATGTGGTTGCCGACAAACATCACTTAGTTCCCGGATTTTAGGGTCTTGTTCCGTCCATATATCCGGAACCAGTCAATCGATTGAAAGTCTATTAATTAACATTCTATAGAATCATGGTAGCTTTCATTTGGTTGTTGTTGCGTTCAATTCGGTAGAGTGGTTGCCGAGAAATACATATAAGAAAATTGTCTTACGCGCTCTCTCACACACATAAATAGACAGACATTTTCCGATCCCGTCATGCTGAGTCGATTGGAAGACTATTAGAAAAAATATCAATGTTTTTATAAAAAGTTAAAAAAAAAAACAAAAAACTTAAAAACGGGAAAAAAAAAGTTGATAAAAAAATAAGACCAATTGTAAATTTACTCCACCATTATTCGATTTGACAGAACCAGAGTACCAGAATTTTCGGGGTACATTAGCATTACACTGGAGCTGTTTAGTTGCTCCCGGGGTGTTCGAAACTAACGATTTTAAATTGGCTCACCACTTTAGTAGCCTATTGGTCCTAAGCAAACGATTAACGTACCCTATTCTAATCGAAATTCTAGTACTACGCAATGTTTGTTTTGATTCGCTATGAAAGTTTGACAGATAAACCAACAATCAATACGAAACTAACGATTTTAAATTGACTCACCACTTTAGTAGCCTATTGGTCCCAAGCAAACGATTAACGTACCCTATTCTAGTCGAAATTCTAGTACAACGCAATGTTTGTTTTGATTCGCTATGAAAGTTTGACAGATAAAATGAGGGGTTATTGGTTTTTCCTATGTTTCGAGGGGTGAATCGATTAGCTTGGGACCGAAGAGAGTACCAGAGCTGAGCCAAAAAGTTGAGCACGTTATTTCGGGACCTTCTAGTCTTAGAGTTACCTCTATGGATAAACTGAGGGGTTATTGGTTTTTCCTATGTTTTGAGAATGTAATAGCAAAAAGCAGATACAATATTACCAACCGGTGGAAACTAACGATTTTAAATTGGCTCACTACTTGACTAGCCTATTGGTCCCAAGCAAATCGATTAACGTGCCCAATTCTACTCGAAATTCTATTACTGCACTATGTTTGTTTTGATTCGCTATAAAAGTTTGACAGATAAAATGAGGGGTTAGTGGATTTTCCTATGTTTCGAGGGGTGAATCGATTAGCTTGGGACCGAAGATAGTACCAGAGCTGAGCCAAAAAGTTGAGCACGTTTCTTCGGGACCTTCTTGTCTTAGAGTTACCTCTATGATATTACATCAATGAATGTAATTTTGTTCGCAAAATCGATGTACATCGTACAACCAACAATCAATACGAAACTAACGATTTTAAATTGGCTCACCACTTTAGTAGCCTATTGGTCCCAAGCAAACGATTAACGTACCCTATTCTAGTTGAAATTCTATTACTACACTACGTTTGTTTTGATTCGCTATGAAAGTTTGACAGATAACATCAGGGGTGTGTGGATTCATGCAGAACATGCAGGGGTGAGTGAAATAGCTTGGGACTGCTTGGGACCGTTGTTCTGGTACTGAGTGAGCCAAAAATAATAATGATTTTCTTCGGGACCCAGCGGTCTTAGAGTTACCTCTATGGTACAACCATAGAGGTAACTCTAAGACTAGAAGGTCCCAAATAACGTGCTCAACTTTTTGGCTCAGCTCTGGTACTCTCTTCGGTCCCAAGCTATCGATTCACCCCTCGAAACAAAGGAAAAACCAATAACCCCTCATTTTATCTGTCAAACTTTCATAGAGAATCAAAACAAACATTGCGTAGTACTAGAATTTCGAATAGAATGGGGTGCGTTAATCGTTTGCTTGGGACCAATAGGCTAGTCAAGTAGTGGGCCAATTTAAAATCGTTAGTTTCGTGTTGATTGTTGGTACAACGTTATATTACACAACCGATGGATTGACCTTGTTGCAGCAGTTTGGATGTAATATTCAACAACTTTTTTTTCTGTCTAGTAAGTGGCTATCCTAAAGTCCATCAAGCAAGACCGCACCCCAGAAAACTGCTTTCTCCAGTCAATGAGGGCATCTATGCCGAGGCAGCAACGTCGTCCAACAAGAAAATGCAATTGGCCATCATCAGGCAGGTTCAAAGTTCGTTGGGATGACTTGGAAAACGCTAATAAAAAGCTGCCTGAAAAATTATGAATTTAGAGGGTATCAAAACTGATAATACTTTATGTATACTTACCAACTTCTCTACCGACCAACATGTGTTACAATTCACCATTTAGAATTTCTGGAAATTACTTACTCACCAAAACAAAACATATCTACTCAGAATTTTAAAAACCTTATATTTGACGCAAGAATGAGTTGGATCTACTCAGTCACTGGATAGACTCAAAATAGCGTGTAGCCAATCGGTCCCACAGACAAAGAACAAAAATTGTTGCAATAAAAATAATGCATTCTCAAATTTAAAGTTTCCCAAAATCGGTAGTTTCAACTAAGAAAACATTCAACATAAAAATCGTGCTTTGGATTGAAAGTGTTTCTTCCACTTTTCACTCATAAATTTAAAAATGTCAAAATACATCTTCATAACGATGTTTTCACTGGCAGCACGCAACCCTTTTTTGCCGCCTTTGCTGCTAAAACCAAAACAACATTTCTGATTTAAACGACTAGTGGAAACAGCCATCTGAAAATCATATAAGTTTGCACTATGAGAAAATTTAGTAAAATATACCTGTTTTCATTATGAATGTTGGTCACTAAAATATCACTGATACGAATTTTGTTCATTTAAAACAAAAATATAAATGTTTATACTCTAAACATATGAATTATTCGAGGGGGATGACTCTATCTACGATGCAGAAATGAAAGAAGATTTTTCGAAGATTGATTCGCTAGTGTGAGATTTGTTGAGCATCTAAACTTGAAATTTAGATGTGTTGCCCCCTTCGGAATTATTCAAAGTAAATTGAAAGCATGTTTAATTTTAGTTTAGTTTTAATTTATGTTTGAATAAAATTCAAAAGCATGTTTATTTCAACAATATCAGATTTGGGTAAACGGTTTTTAGCGTGTCATGCCTTTTTATTTCCTTCTTGTTACATTCGGAAAAAGTTGCCCCAGCTTCGCTCAACCTCAACAGAAAACGGCCATCCATTCCGAATCCATTCCGGATCCTCCTCCGACACCAAACATAGAAAGAAACCGGTATGAGTTCCAGTGGCAGAAACCGAGGCAGAAACGGCAAAACGACGTTAACAACACAAATTTGCACCGGTTCCACTGAACTGGAACCCCCGGACACCCACCCCAACGGGTTATCGCATCCCGGACCAGGACCCCAATACCCACAGCTCACCCTTAATCGCACCCGAAACATGAACAGGAATTAAGATGCCCTCCCGAAGATCTTTTTTTTTTTTCATTTCTTTGCAAACCGTTTTATTTTTTTTATTTACCCTGCACTCAACTACTAAAATAATTTCAAAATATGTATGTATGCTTCTCATGTTTAAAATAAACATATTTATTATTGTTCGCATCGCTTTCAAACCAAAGAAAAATAAATACGTTTATTTTCAACACGAATATTTTTGAAATAAACGTAACATTATTTTTGTTTTAAACATTGATTTCACATGATTGGTATACGTTTGAAATCAACCTAGTTTATGTTTGTGGCCAGAACAAACTGAGTTTACGTTTAAATTTACCTCAAATATTTTTGTTTCGACCATAGTTTTTTCTGCGTGATATATCTTATAAGATAATTATGTTTATTTTATTGGAGTTGCTTTTAACGATTTTTGACGTTTGTTGATATGTCGCGTGTAAACAGACATGTAGAAACTATTGAACAGTCATTTAACTTTGCAGTAAAGGGTGATACGGTCAAAATTTGGTCAAGGGAAAACGCGTGTAAATCGGTGAAATCGTTTATTTAAAAAATCAAATTAAATTTCTTTTTCAAGTTCAATTAGTATAAAATTCAGGAAAAATATTCAGTTAGGCTACCCCTGCCATCAGATTTTGTACAGCCACCTTGTCCACCTTCTTCGCCGCAGAAAGCCAGTTTGCCTTGAACTGCTGCTCGCCCTTAGCAGTTTTTTTGGTCTTCTTTAGGTTCCGCTTGACAATAGCCCAGTATTTCTCAATTGGGCGGAGCTCTGGCGTGTTGGGAGGGTTCTTGTCCTTGGGAACCACCTGCACGTTGTTGGCGGCGTACCACTCCATGGCCTTTTTACCGTAATGGCAAGATGCCAAATCCGGCCAAAACAGTACGGAACAACCGTGTTTCTTCAGGAAAGGCAGCAGACGTTTATTCAAACACTCTTACACGTAAATTTCTTGGTTGACAGTCCCGGAAGCTATGAAAATGCTGCTTTTCAAGCCACAGGTACAGATGGCTTGCGAAACCAGATATTTCTTTGCGAACTTTGACAGTTTCATGTGCTTGAAAACATCTGCTACCTTTCCCCTTCCTTTTGCCGTATAAAACTCCTGTCCCGGAAGCTGCTTGTAGTCGACTTTGACGTAGGTTTCGTCGTCGATTACCACGCAGTCAAACTTCGTCAGCATCGTCGTGTACAGCCTCCGGGATCGCGCTTTGGCCGTCGTATTTTGTTTATCATCGCGATTTGGAGTCACTACCTTCTTGTAAGTCGATAGTCCGGCTCGTTTTTTGGCTCGATGCACGGTTGTAGACGATACACCCAGCTTATTTGTGGCATCTCGGAGAGAGAGAGGTTAGGGTTTCGCTTGAAACTACCGGCAACTCTCTTTGTCGTCTCAGCGGCTTCCGGTTTTCGATTTCCCCCCGATCCAGACTTCCTGGCTGTCGACAAACGTTCCCCAAACACTTTAATTACATTTGTAACGGTTGATTTGGCAACTTTTAGCGATTTTGCCAACTTTGCGTGCGAGTAGCTCGGATTTTCGCGATGCGCGAGCAAAATTTTGATACGCTGCTCTTCTTGCTTGGACGGCATTTTGACAACTGAAGAGTGAATTCCAAAATCAAAATAGGAGCAACATTCTACACACACACACCTTCAAAATGAGGGGTGTTCAGGTTTTTTAAATGCAAAATTGAAAGAAATACGTCAAGTTGATATTGACCAAATTTTGACCGTATCACCCTTTATAGGAAAACATGTATATCTCATTATAATAGTTTTCTTTGATTTTTGTCGTTTAAAGATTGTAAACAGATCTATCTCAATCATTATATAGTCAAATAGATTTGCCTTTTAAGAAATCCAACAGCAAACATTTGTTTTGGCATGGTTTTCTGGGATGAATATCGCTCCCAATAAAATACATCTTACATGATTGTTCTTCATAAATTATTGAAACAATTTTCAACGATGTTATCGTACACTCATTAAAATAATTAGTCGAACTAAATATAGCTAACAACAATGATACTGTTTTGAATAAACCTTGTTTGTTATTGTTTCATAAGATAAGGGGTTCCAGAAAAGAATGTATTGAGATTGAAAAAAAATATTCTATTGCAATATTTACCTTGCTAAGATTCTAATTGTAAACCTTCTACACACACTTAGAAATTATCGCCGGCTTCGGTAATTTTTACCGAAATCTGAACAGCTACAACACTACTACCACAGACAAACAGACATAACACTCGCAAGTTGTTCATCGAACAAGCATTTAACGGTCAATTTAAAAGTATCGTAGTTGGTAGTACCGCCACCTGTGGCGCGCATAGTCAATTCCCTTGCGTTTGACGTTTACACACTACCGCCATCTGTTCAGCGTACTACCCACCACAGTGTACTCAACAGATGGCGGTAATGTTTTTGCAACGATGTTTTACAGTGAGAAATATTCAATGTGTTATGTCTGTTTGTCTGTGCTACTACCAACAATCAATACGAAACTAACGATTTTAAATTGGCTCACTACTTGACTAGCCTATTGGTCTCAAGCAAACGATTAACGTATCCCATTGTAGTCAAAATTCTAGTACTACGCAATGTTTGTTTTGATTCGCTATGAAAGTTTGACAGATAAAATGAGGGGTTATTGATTTTTTCCCATGGTGGGTATATAAATGGTTTTTTTTTTTTTTTTTCCTTTGGTTTGTTTTTTCCGTCGATCTTGTTTTCCGTGCTGAGCACTAATGCTACCGACGTGCCAGGAAGGCAGCTCCCACACCTGGACCCTACCTATCGACCCATCAACTCATGAACCGGGGACCAACGGCTTTACTTCCCATCCGAAGGAAGGCGTGATCAGAGATGTTATGCCTCAGAACATCCCGGCGGCGCCGACTGGGATTGAACCCAGGCCTGTTGGGGTGAGAGGTAATCACGCTTACCACTACACCACCAGCGCCGTTGTATATAAATGGTGATACCAACAATCAATACGAAACTAACGATTTTAAATTGACTCACCACTTTAGTAGCCTATTGGTCCCAAGCAAACGATTAACGTACCCTATTCTAGTTGAAATTCTATTACTACACTATGTTTGTTTTGATTCGCTATGAAAGTTTGACAGATAACATCAGGGGTGTGTGGATTCATGCAGAACATGCAGGGGTGAGTGAAGTAGCTTGGGACTGCTTGGGACCGTTGTTCTGGTACTGAGTGAGCCAAAAATAATAATGATTTTCTTCGGGACCCAGTGGTCTTAGAGTTACCTCTATGATTGTACCACATGGCAACACTACTACCAACAATCAATCCACTAACGATTTTAAATTGGCTCACTACTTGACTAGCCTATTGGTCCCAAGCAAACGATTAACGTACCCAATTCTAGTCAAAATTCTACTACTACACAATGTTTGTTTTGAATCGCTATGAAAGTTTGACAGATAAAATGAGGGGTGAGTGGATTTTCCTATGTTTCGAGGGGTGAATGGATTAGCTTGGGACCGAAGAGAGTACCAGAGCTGAGCCAAAAAGTTGAGCACGTTATTTTGGGATCTTCTAGTCTTAGAGTTACCTCTATGCTACTACCATAGAAGTAACTCTAAGACCAGAAGGTCCCGAAGAAACGAGCTCAACTTTATGGCTCAGCTCTGGTACTATCTTCGGTCCCAAGCTCGGTCCCAAGCTAATCAATGCACCCCTCGAAACATAGGAAAATCCTAGAACCCCTCATTTTATCTGTCAAACTTTCATAGCGAATCAAAACAAACATAGTGTAGTACTAGAATTTCAACTAGAATAGGGTACGTAAATCGATTTACTTGGTCAAGTATTGAGCAAATTAATCATGTTTTGTTGTTTTTGACATCATCCACATCCAGAAGGCCAGTCACTTTCGAATGTATGGGAATGATAGGAAACCATTTGCAAATGCATGAAAATTTTCAGTTTTTATTCATTATCATCTTTATGGGCAGTTTTAGATGCACAAAAATTGCATGGGTACATTACTATGGTGATAAGTTAAACACTCGTTTATTTGATGCCTTCTGTGAAAGCATGTTTAGTCACAAATCGTGGATTTTCTGATATTCTCCATACTGCAAAAATGATTTTCCTACCACTTAATAGGCGACATATCTCGGATCTTCAGTATAGCTACTACTCAAATCATATAATTAATTTAAAATCGTTAGATTCCACCGGTTGCTAAAACTGCTGGATGAAGTGGTCTATTATTGTTAATCGAGTTCCCACCTTTAAAATAGTCTCTACTCATCTTGGACGCTCAGACCGATCGCCTAATGCAACTGGAAATGTTTCATAATCACCAAAATGCCAAAAATCACGTCCGATAAACTACTCGAATATTGCTGACAGCTGGTCCGATTTGTAAACAAGCATCCATGGAACTGCAGATGCGACAGAAATCGTTCAGGAACGTCGCAGAAAACATTCAAGTTATTTTTATTTGCTCAAAAATCATTTAAATCCGCGAAAAACTGTGGTTTTTCAAAAAGTGACAATGGCCGACGAAGAGTACGAACGCTTTGAGATAACCGACTACGACCTGGACAACGAATTCAATCCGAACCGGCGCAACCGACGGCCGACCAAGCAGCAGCAAATTTACGGCATCTGGGCGGATGACGATTCGGAAAATGAGGCCGCCGAAGAAGGTTCGTCTCGGCGCGGTCGTGGCCGTATGGGCAAGAAACCAAAGGACTATACCGCTCCGATTGGGTTCGTTGCCGGAGGAATTCAGCAGGCCGGTAAGAAGAAGGAAGAGAAAAGGGAAAGCGATGAGGAGGAGGATGATGAGGACGATGAAAATCGAGCACGGCTTGGGGGGGCTCCGAGCGGAACCAGTTCCGAGTCGGAGTCGGAAGTGGCTGCGAAGGCAAACGACTTTCGGTCGATGGCAGGATTTCGGAAGGCCCAGCCGGCGAGGAGCGGAGGTCCAGCTCTTTCGAAGGGAGTCGGTGGTTGGGAGCAGCATACGAAGGGTATCGGAGCGAAGCTTCTACTGCAGATGGGTTATCAACCGGGGAAAGGTTTGGGTAAGGATTTGCAAGGTATAGCCGCTCCGATTCAGGCACATTTGAGGAAGGGTCGTGGCGCAATCGGGGCCTATGGACCGGAGAAGAAGACGGTAGTGATGGATCAGAAACTGAAGAAGGAAAAGGAAGAGACGAAGGAAATTAAGGAAAAGGATCCCGGTCAGCAGTGGAGGAAGGACAAGCACAAAGGGAGGTACTTTTACAAAAGCGTTGAGGACGTTATCGAGAAGGGGAAAAGGACGTACACGCTCTTCGAAAAGAACTCGAAGCTGAGTAATGTTAAGGTCATTGATATGACCGGGCCTGAGAGTAGGGTCCTTAGTGGTTATCATGCTTTGAGCCAGGCGAAGGTAGCCGACGAAGATCTGTATGATTCAAAAGCTACTAAGGAGACCACTAATTTTGCGCTTCCGGAGTTGATGCATAACTTAAATCTGATCGTGGAGTACTGTGAGCAAGATATTATTGCAATTGACAAGCAAAAGTGCGAAGCTCAAGATCGGGAAGAGCAGTTGGAACTGGAGAAGGAGAACCTGATAAAAATCACTCAGCTGGAGGAGGACTACATTCATACCCTGGAGGGAGCTTTGGATTTGGTAAAGGCTCTGGTCGAGCCCGAGAGTGGTTCCGTTTCTTTGGAAGAATGCGAGCGGATTTTTATCCGTATTCAAACCGGATTCCCATCGGAATATAAGGAATTTGGATTGGCTGACTTGGCCCCGGGGGTAGTTGCACCGATGATAGCGGCTCGACTCAAAGAATGGAATCCCTTCGTCGATCCTACCCTCCATCTGGATTTATTCAAACGTTGGCGATCGATATTGGGATGTTCCGACACCGAGAAACGCAATCTGCTGGATCCCTATTCCGGACTTGTTTGGTCCGGTGTAATTCCCAGCATCCGATCGGCTGCCACCACTTGGGATCCAAGACTACATCAACCGATGATTGCTTTGCTGGACGCGTGGGCACCGTTGTTACCTTCGTGGATCCTGGACAACATCTTAGAACAAATTGTCATGAGCAAACTGACTTCAGCCGTTGGCGATTGGGACCCTCTGACGGACACCATTCCAATACACATCTGGATTCAACCGTGGGCTGGAATACTCGGTTCAAAGATGGAAGTGAGCATCTATCCGACGATACGGGAGAAGCTCAGCAAGGCCCTGAAGGCATGGAATCCGGAAGATCGATCGGCGAGGGCGATGATTACTCCGTGGAAGGGTGTAATGGCCGAGGAGGATTTGCAAGCGTTCCTCACGAAGAACATCATCCCCAAGCTGGAACTGCGGCTAACCGAACTGGTGATCAATCCACTGCAGCAAGATTTGGGTAAGTCCGATCAAACAAGGGTGAATGTGTTAAAATGTAATTTATTTGTTGTTTCAGAAATCTTCAACCAAGTCTGGGAATGGAGCGAGCTTATTTCCACCATTTATATGGCATCCATCTTGGACAAGTTCTTCTTCCCCAAGTGGATTCAAACGCTGGTGCTGTGGCTGAACCAATCGCCCAATTTCGATCAGGTCACCCGTTGGTACCAGGGCTGGAAGTCCCAATTCACCGAGGACATTATCCGCCAAACGAACATCAAGGAAAGCTTCCGCAAAGCGCTGGAACTGATGCAGCGTTCGATCGGCATAACGTCGTCGTCCGCGTCATCGTCGGCAACGGTGGAACCGATGGATACGATACCTCCGCCACCGAAACCGCCCTCGCTTATGGAAGTTCACGTGGATGTTCCGCCGACGTTGGAATTCAAGGAGCTGGTATCGCAGAAATGCGCCGAACGGGGAATCATCTTTGCGCCGATGCCCGGCCGGAGAGAGATGGGAAAGCAGGTCTACCGAGTTGGGAAGCTGTTTTGCTACATCGACCGCTCGGTTTGCATCGTCAGCTTGGACGGGGGCGTCAATTGGACACCGATTTCGCTGTCGGCGCTGGTCGAACGGGCGGTAAGTGGGTAAAGTGCGTCGGTTTATTGATTTATGTGTAACATTTTGAACATGAAGAACTATGTCAAAGGACTTATAACGTAGACACAGTGTTGCTAAAATTTATTTCATACCACAATATCCTTGCAACCGTATTCATCCCTGGGCACTGGTAAAACCTTGAGGTTGTTGGATTAGGCTACCAGGTCCCAGGTCCCAGGGCTGGTCTGGATCTTTACCTCATTGGAAAGATGCACACTAGTGTTACCAGATCAGATATAATGTGGACCAACAATGCTTTTAAAATAAGCGGGATTTACTTTTTACTCTGAACTGATTATTGATGGTTAAGTACAGCATTTGTTAATAGTAAGAATGTTGCATTTAATTTAAAAGATTCAGTATTGTTGTCCTCTTACGGGCCAGCAATCTTTTGGGAAGCATTACCACACAGATTCTACACTGGGTTTGGAATTTATGACTGGGTGGCGATTTTGCTTTTATATTTCTAGAACAACCTACTTTGAAGAAACGTGCCGAAAGTTGATCGAAAGTTGCCGAAGAAGCGATAGAGGCCGTTGAAGAACCAAGGATGCTGGTGGAACGAAAGCACTAACAGCTTCAAAGTGCTAGATCATGGAACGATATGTAGAAGTTGGTGTACCCTCAAGAATACCAACAACAACATTGTAATGTACATAGTCACAAATGTACATAAACAGGTAGTTTCTTACTAACTTTATTAATCTTATTGTACATATAATGTATTCGAACTAGCCAATTTAAGTTTCAGCTATTTATGTTCCGGCATCATCATCCCTCCCCCCCCCGACTTTTCCCCTGTGGCAGCTAATTCACGAATGGCGATTTGGGTGATTTGCCGAAATGTTGCCCTAGCGGTGACGTTACTGCAGCTCACCCTGTTGCACATTCGTGAATTACACAGAACTTATTTAACCTACTGTTAAAGATGCTGTGATGCCAACTCCCTTTCTACTGGTATAGCATGGATGGTGCCTAAACACACCAGATACCTGTCCCTTGACCCCCTTCTATACTACAAAATGAAATGAAATGAAAATGACAATATCCTTGCAACCGTATTCATGTGAATCGTTATCAACAATTTATGTTACTATCACAGAGAAGCAGACATACCACTCACAAGTTGTTCATCCAACAAGTATTTAACGGCACCGACGCCTGTGTCGGCATAGTCAATTTCCTTGCGTTTGACGATTACACCCTACCGCCATCTGTTCCACAGATGGCGGTAATGATTTATCGACGATGTTTTACAGTGAGAAATATTCGTCTGTTTGTCTGTGTTACTACTATGAGCCAGCGTCATTGTTTTATACTGTTCTGGGTACTACTATTAATAAGGGATTCCCGTCTCTTGCAATAATTTTCTGACGCAATTCACGCCAATGTGTTTTTGCTTTGGCATCAACGTCTTATTTACGACATCGGAAGTTGTTTTTTCATCGTTCGGTTGGAATAAAGAGAGGCGCGGCAGTCAAGTTGTTTGTCATAGTCTATCATTCTAGCTGTTAGGATTGAAAAGTGTTTTTACAAACAAGTTGCATCGCTTTCTAATTCAAACTCTATGACTCGTAGAGCTTGATTTAGAAACAGATGTAACGTGTTTGTGAGACACTTTTAAACCCTAACAGCTAGAATCATGGACAATTTTAGGAAGTTGATCTTTTTTTTAAGGTACCTACTTCTGATTCGTACTTTTGTAAATTACCAGGCGTTCTCCATCGAATTAAAGCAATACACTTAGGCTGATGCAAATTTTTATTTTTATTTATGTCACCCCCCCCCCCTTTCAAAATGTCAAAATATTGAGGGGGCAAAAAAAAATGGTTTAAGTATTTTGACGAAAACTGTCCTAGTTTTGGTTTGCCGTGTTGAAAAAATTCGACTGTTGAGTTGTTTTGGTTTGCCGTGTTTTACGCTAAACTGCCCGTTTTTATCGTTTACCCGTCATCAACAGCAACCGTGAGTAAAAATGACGTTTTCGTTATGTCAATGCACGAAAATTCGCAGGACGCTTCTCTCACGCATAAGTGCTGTCGTTTTTAGGTGGTTTCTTTTCGCTATCTCTTTTACTCTGAAGCAAAATGAGAGGTTAGACACGGTGCACTGATCTATAGTAAGCACTCCGCTGCATTTTGCTTTGATAAACGCAGTAAAAAAGTGTACTCTTTCGGACCAAATTGCTTCGTAGATCAAAAGTTGTGTTTCAGTGCAATCTTCGTTCACAAATGATATTGCGTGCCCGTGTATCACAATATGGTAAGCTGTGTGTACTTTTTATAGCCTAAAAACTGACATCAATGTTTCTTTCTAGGAAAAAAAGCTCCCGATGGCCATCCGGATCGAAAGAGACGGGAAATTGGTCAATCAATCGATCGTTTCGACCACGGCAGATAAATCTTTCTCCGACTTGATCAGTCAGGTGATGGGGTCTGTCGAAATTGAAACTATCTACGCCGGATCAAAGTCACTGGAAAAGGAACATCTCTTCGAACTTTCACTGACTACCACAATTGATGATGCTATTCTTGCTATTGGCTCTTGCACAAAAGTACTGTGCATCTTAAAATCCATGATCCCTCTTGTGAAGAAGCCACTTCCTAGTGCTTTTGATACGTTGATGAACAATGCATCCATCCTCAAACGTCCGGATAAACGATCGGAAAATCGTGGTCAAGACGGTATTTATAACCACACAGTTGATTATCTTCAGGATCTGGACTTGGGATTCCGAACGTTCCAAAGGGTTGAAATGGAACTTTTTATGTCCACCGTAGTTTCGGTACTTTGGTACCTCGACGGCCATTGGGAAAAGTTTTCGTCAGCGCCAGGTGTATCAAAAATGCCACAGAGGCTGCATTTTGCTCCTGAAAATCAAGACACATTTCGGAAGCTGCATCATGGAGATCAAAAAAAGAAAACTTTACCGCGGCTCAAGAAACTTGACTTGATTGAGCACTTCAACAAACTTGAGTTCCTTTCTTCAAAATCATTCATCCAGGCAGCAGCATGGAGATCAGTTTTAGATGACGTGTGTCAACTGAAAGTTTGTATCGCAGAATATATTGCCCATATCAATCGGGCGGAAGTACGTGGGAAAGCGGAAGAGGAAACAATTTCTCATCGGGATAATCGTTCGCTTAAGAAGGTACCCGCGAAACCGGACCGGAAAAACATGAGCAAGATTCTTTACGCAGCGCTGGAAACGGAACTAGAGTCGGCACCCCCTTACGTTGAGCATAACGTAGTTTTTTTTGCACCTACCGAACGTCGCGCTAAATACAACTATATTGCTGGCTTAGCGTTTGAGTTCACCATCTACGTTTATCGATCCTTCAAACCTAGCGCAACGTTTGTATGGAAATCCCCAGACGACGATCAAACTGCTCTGGCAAACACGATCGCTCGCATCGAGAAAAATATTGAAGAACGTGTTAAACACGACAAAGCTGTACACATGAACAACTTGTTCGGCAATACAGCACAATGGTCCATGGATAACGTCAGTAAGCTGATATCGTTTATAGCAGGGTAGTTTGTACTATCAGACTGTAACATGTTAATGTTTTTTTACCTTTATGCTTCATGCTTTGTTATTTTTAGATGATGATCATCTCTCGCAGGACGACACAGATGATACTGTGGCTGAATTTAAACTTTTATTGGACGAAGGGTATGAGCTCTCTGATGCTTTGACATTGGTCGAACAGGCTCAAGAGTCGAAAGCAGAAAAATTTGAGCTTTTCTGGAAAGCGGTGGAAAACGTGCTAGCTGAAAACGATTACACCGTTGCTGACGAACGACGTAACGGAGAAACAACTTGGATATCACCATTGTGTGTTCCTCTACGTGATTTGATGTCACAATGTGAGAGAAGAATGGAAGAGCTTTTCCCGGATTCCGACAACAATTTTATTCCATCGTATGAATATTTTCGAATCCAGTTTGTTCCTCGAAACAGCAAATCAGTAGTAGGGAGCAGTTATTATGGTCGATTCAACGTGAAGTTTGGATTGCAAAAACGAACACTACACAAAGCTCATGTAGATCAACATTACGGTGCTAAGCAATTCAAGTTTTTGAAAGTTATGGCGGGTAATATCTTTTAAATATCTGTTAAATTTTTATTACTTAATCTTATCATTAACGCAGGCATCTTTTCGGATCATTCGCTAGTACACTTCTTAGACGACAAAGCGTCCATTCCTGTGGGGTTTACTGGTGCACCAGTAAGTGCGACGCGTCGTCAGCGGCACGTATTGATGACTGGCTTAGATGGACGTGGTTTAAATGCCATGGATCATGATAATATCCCCCAACATATCGTACCATCAGTTTCCATAAAACTTATACCACCGAAGGATGTATCAGTATCATGGTATAAGGGGAAGCCCCTTATCATTTTGAAGGATGCCATTTTCGAAGCTTCCAATGCTTTTAGGCATGCCGCAGAATTGATTAAGCATACGGATGAGGACGTTGATGACCGACCAATGATGTTTATCGGCACCGATGGTGGTCCGGATCACAACGTCACAAGTATTCAAGTGATCTTAAGCTATTTAGCTTTATTCTTCGAATTGGATCATGATTTTTTGTGTGCAGTTCGAACTCCTCCCAATTTTTCGGTCATCAACCCAGCGGAACGTTTTATGAGCGTTGCTAACATTGCTTTGATGGGTGTCTCTTTGGCCAGAAACCATCTAGGTCAAAATGAACCAAAAGTACGGTCTCTGTTGTCCAAAAAGCAATGGAGAGATGCACAAAGCAAGCATCCTAATATCGACTACCGTCAGATGGCGCTGGACGGAACCAAAGATGCGAGGGAACTTTTGACAAAACGTTTTGAGGCATTAGTGTACAAAGGTGAAAATGTTGTGGTTGGTGATGCGGCCACGGATCAAGAGATCGATCGTTTGAAGCGAAAAATATCAGACGTCTGGCCCGAGATAGACATGGACAAAAAGCTAACCAAAGCGGATGTACTAAAAGTTAATTCTGCGAAGGACTTTTTTGAAAAGCACGTACGGTGCACTACTTATGCAATGCAGGTGAAG